TATACAGTCCTATTACAATACCATTGGCTATATTCCCCATGCTGTACCTTTCATCCCCATGACTTATTCATTCCATAACTGGAGGCCTGTACCTTCCACTCCTCTTTACTAATTTTGTCCATCTCCCAACCCCTTCCCCTCTTGCAACCGCCAGTCGGTTCTCTTTATTTATGAGTCTGTTTATCCTTTTTGTTCATTTGGTTTAGTTTTTAGATTCCACATATATGTGAAATCATATGGTGTTCGCCTTTTGCTGCCTGACTTATTTCACTTAACACAATACCCTCTAGATCTATCCATGTTGTAGCAAATGGCAAGATCTCATTCTTTTTTATGGCTGAATTACATTCTATCACATATGTAAATGACATCTCTTTATCCATTCATCTATCAATGGACACTTACGTTGCTTCCCGATCTTGGCTATTGTAAATAATGCTGCAATAAACATAGGGGTGCATGTATCTTTTTGGATTAGTGCTTTCTTTGGATAAATACCCAGCAGTGTAATTACTAGATTTTACTCTAGCTCTAGTTTTAATTTTTGGGGGGAAACTCCAATTTGCATTCCCACCAACAGTGCGTGACATTTCTGGAGCAGGTTTTCTTTAATAAATAGAAAAATGAGTTCCTTAAATAAAGTCAGCTTTAAGGCTGAATTCTCGATTAGTAAGTGTTCTGATGTAAATACAGCCTGCATATATCACCATTGTGTATTATTGTCATTCTTAATTTCTTCATGTCCTACTTAATCAGTTCTAAAAATTGAATTCTTAGAAAGTTAATGAAAGAATAGTATAGAATACTGCTATTTCAAACTGTTTGTTTTGACAACATTTGTAATCCATTTTGATTTATAACTTCACACTTTTACTTATAAACAATGGTGGTTGGTATAGAAAGCAGTAACCAAGAGAAAAAGTCTTGTTCTTTATAGTATAGGAAAACAAATAACTAATTTTAAAATTTGTGTCTGAATAATTTTTTATCAGGTGTAACAAATTAGCAATAAGATAGAAACCTCAAAGTTTGGACTTTTATTCATTTTATTTATTAGATATAGATAATGTATTTTAGATTATAAAATACAAAGCTGCTGATTTTAATGGGATAGGCATTTGCCATGGAGGAATTTTGCTAATGCTGCTTTACTAAGATATTTTACTTTATCAAAAACAAACCTTTCTCTTTTTAGGTCTGAAGTCTTTTGTAGGGATCCTGACCCACTGCTTGAAGAAACTTACTGGTGTCATTATCCTAACTCTGTTTTTTCTGAGTGTATTTTCTCTGATTGGCATGGGGCTCTTCATGGGCAATCTGAAGCATAAGTGTTTGCGATGGCCCCAAGAAAATGAAACTGTAACCCTGCACAACAGAACTGAAAATCCATATTATATTCGAGGTAAGAATCACTTGCCATCCGCATCAAAAAAATTAAAACTTTTCTTAAAGGCCGAGCAGCCTTCACAGAAATGTTGGACACTCAACTTCAGAACTAACTTCTTGTAAACGTTGTCACTATGCTCAAGTACATGCATCCCCTGCTTTTTGAAAGTTCACGTTTCGCCGCTTAGCTTTTACCAAAGCCCTACATGAGTACCTGTTTTCTCTAACAGAGGAAATCTGAAGAGGATTTTCACTTTTATGAAAATGGCTAAAAGCAAAAATAGCATTCAGCATTTGTTTTGCAGCAAGCCATCCTAGAGGTAGTGCACGGAGAGGAGTCTGGCCCCACCAAAGCTCCCTCCCCTAGAGCCACATTCAGCATCTCAACATCAAGCTGCCATAGCTTTGAATTATGTGTATGAGCACCTGTGCCTTATTTCAGTTTATTTCGTGCATCTGTTAGCAAGATGTGTCCTAAAGTATCAGACAAGCCTAAGAGAGGTTATTTTGGATGCCTGGCCATGCTCACAAACTTTTCCCTATAAACTAATGGTAATTGTTTCTTTATGCCATTTCCATTTACAAAAAGTTTTATTAGGAATGTTCTGCTTTTGGATAGCGGGGGAAACCTATACTGATATGAATCAGTTTCATTTATGAGAATTGCAAAGTTCCAATCTTCAGACAGTTCAATAAGGGAAACCTATGTTTGGAATTGCTAAGTTTTGTAAATTTTATCCTTTAAAAAATAAATATAACCAAAGTCTTACTTTAAATTTCATCAAAGTAGAATCCTCACAATACTACCTTTATTTAATAAAGTTTTTTAAAGTATAAATTTAAGTTTACTCATTAGCAATTTTAAAGTGACCTTATAAATTAAAAAATGGCCTGCATTATAGAAATTCTTTCTATTCTTGGATTTCAATTACTGCTGATCATTTTAAATGCTTTGGGTCATCCTTTGGTAAATATTAAACATATTTTAGGCTAATAGTAATAATGCCAAAATAAATATTGCTTGGCTTTTATATGTAAGTAATTCATATGCCTGATCACATATCTTTGCCATAATCCTGCAGAGAAGTGAATGGCCCCTGTTACAAACAGAAAAATGGAAGTTCAGAGAAATTCAGTGAGCGTTCCAGCATATTATTACTATCCACTGATTAAAACTAGGATTCTAACCACGATCAATCTGGCTTTCAAATCCATGCCCTCTCCATTAGGCTGTACTCTCCTATTGGATTTTTTGCTCATATTAAAATTATTGGGTCCTTTTTGATAGTATTTAGAAAAAAATAAAAGTGTATTTTTAAACTAATAAAAATAAAATGTTGAATTTTTTTGTAGTCCCTCTGCATTACTTTTATTTGTATTTGGATATATTAAGTCACAAAACAAATCTGAATAAATTTTACTCTCTGGCTTACCCCATAATATCATTATGATTCAAGTCATATAAAATTATTGGTATATGAATATGTGAAATGTTTCCTTATTATATGTGTCTATTCTATGGTCTTGATTCTAGTAGTAAGACAACAGAAAATGGGTATTAAATCTTAGATTCCAGTTGAAATACTCTTTGGTTTCTTTAGTTATAACAAAATATGCAAATTATATAAAAATAAACAGTATTTACTACTTTACTGGTTATTGCTAAGAAAACAAATCCAGGCTCATCTTAGCATAATAGTATATGATAAAGAAATCACTTTTTAAAAATTACCACTTTAAAATTTGTCCAATTATAGTCATTCCATCTCCTCTAAAAACATGTTAGGAATGCTAAAAATATTATATGTGTAAAATGTTATTTAACCTAATTGCCATGTCATAGTCCTTGCACTTAGAAGAGTATTTGGGACTGCCCACTTCTACTAACGTCAAATTTCATTTGGTTTTTGACTGCCATTTAAAAGGTTTGATCAATGGTTCCTAACTATGATTTAAAAATTCTTCTAAAATTATTTTAGTCAACAAGTTAAAGTGACATTATTTGAGATTGGAGTAATTCAATTGTGTGTGTGTATATGTATACACATATATGTATACACGTATATGTATATGTATATAATTTTACATACACACTCATACAATCAGGACAGATCTCATGTGTTCTTCTCTGTGACCTAAAATCAATGCTCCTAAGCATGCATGTTCCCATCCCTGGTAGCTCATATCTAAAAACACAATTTACATTTTGAATTACAGCACATTAAGGATACCTGAATAATTTGTATGAGCTAAGATTCAGATTAACTTAAACTGTGATTAGAACTGGTGACATCAGGCAAGTAACTGGCACTGGATACTCAGTGTAGAAAAATAAGCTTCAGAGTGGGAAGAGAATGGCAGTTGAACCCGAAGGCAGAAATATGGTCTTTTGTGAAGGAAGATCATTTAGGAATAAGCCCTGTAAGAAAAGGTCCTCAGCTTTCAAACACTTCAGTCGGGAATTTTTCCTTCACAGGTCCTGTCATACCTGACTGGTTATATTCATTTTCCAGAACTCTATTTTTAAAAGGGATTCTCCTCTTTGTATGCTGAGCTGTTACTTTTGGGGCAGTGACGTATGTGGATTTCCAGAGGTCTCTTGGCCTCTGCATCACATGCTAGGGATGCGTAGGGTTTTGCAGATTTTTTTTTTTTAAAAAGGCCTTCCTTTTCACTATAGCAAGGAATGTTCCTCTTCTATGCAGATATAGACGGATATCAGATATGCTGTTTGTTCAAAATTAGATACAGAATATAATTTCTTTCCTATTTTTCAGAAACAGAAAATTTTTATTATTTGGAAGGAGAAATATATGCTCTTCTTTGTGGCAACAGAACAGATGCTGGGTAAGTGGTGTTAATGTTCTTGTATCTAGTCAGTATCATTGATCCATAGTATTTATTGAATGGTTATTGCTTTGGCTTATTTTTCTCATCTAATAACATTATCTCATTTTATCACTAAAACCATGCTGAGAAGTATACAACATGGAATACTATTTATCTGATTTTACAGGAAAAAGCAATAAACAGACTAGTTAAATGATTTATTCAAGGTCAAGAAGTTCGTAAGTGGCAGGTCTGAGGTCTGATCTTCTGTTTTCAGTATGCCCCAGAGCTAGTAGGAATTATCAAGAAAGATGGTATAATCTTTTCTTTGGCTAGAAGCCTTTGAAGGAAGAAATATGAAAGATGCACTATTATTTCATTTATTTTATGGTTTGTATATCTTTTATGACTATAACTTACATTAATAAAGTTTATTGCTCTAAAAAAACAGTACTTATAAGTGACTCTTCAGTGATATGACAAGACTCTCAAGTCTTATTGTCCTATAATTTCAAATGAAGAGAAAAGAAAGTAGAAATGCAGTGCTTCTCAGCAGTACTAGCACTCCTATAATTCTTTATGTTACTTTCCTCAACTGGAAATGATCGGATGCCCTTCTGTAGGCTCAGCTCTTTCTTTGGCTCTGGGGCCCAAATTAACAAAAATCATATGGGGGTAGAGGGGCATGAGTTATGTAGTTTCTATATTCAGGTGATTTAGACATTTTGTTGCTTGTTCAACTCTTTGCCCAGCTACTGCCAGGCTTCAATTCTATTCTCAAGTCCATTTTGTGAACCCATCTCACAGTGTCTGCCACACCACACTCCAGATAACCCTTCTCATGGACATCCCAACTCAGATATGACCTGAAATGCTTGTTGAAAATAGCTTGTCATAAACAATCAGAATCACATTGATGTATTTCAAGATCAGAGGAGAAAGTCATGCAGTGTTTTCACCTGTAGCCACCATACCTTGCTGCATCGTAAACTATCCCAAAAGTTAGTGCCTTAAGACAAGAACAAAAATCTATTTGTTCAGATTCCGTGGGTTAGCAGTTTAGCAAGCCTCAGTGTGCGAGTACATTTTAAACCTCTCTTTGCATCATATTTGTTAACTATTAACAAAAGTCCAAAACAATGATGGCCAATGCCAGAATGACATTGGAGGAAAGTACACAAGGGTGTCGATAGAGGGAAGCATGATTTATCGGGCCACTACTGTAATAGCCATCCCCAATACCCAAGCCCCCAAAAGACAAAAGTATGAAGACTCCAGGAGAGGAGATAAATCTTTAATCTGATCTTTGTACCAACATGCAAGTACTGTTTATAAATTGTCTATGTGATAAGTGTTTTCTCACCCTTAAATAATAGTATCTGAGGGCTTGAGGTTAGAGCATTTGAAAATTAAACCCTCAGCCACTGCATTTTTGCTTTTAGCGCTGTTATTTTCCATCACTTTGATATTGGGTAGGAAAGAAATTTTTAACAAGACGTTGGGCAAAAGACCATTTGTGAGCCCCTTTTTCCTTTTAGCTTAATTAACACTGTTCACTTATGTTAACTTAATATCGACCTCTTTGGAGTTTTTCACTGGGAATTATTTAGAAGACTACTCCCTGTGGAAGAAAGAGCCCTTTATTATTCATGGGTGGATGTTCTATATTTTATGATTTGGCCATAATCTGAAAGTCACTTAAGAGTAAGCAGTTTTTATTTTCTTTGTCTTCTTTAGTCAGTGTCCTGAAGGATATGTGTGTGTGAAAGCTGGCACAAATCCTGATTATGGCTTCACAAATTTTGACAGTTTTGGCTGGGCATTACTTGCCCTGTTTCGGTTAATGATGCAAGATTACCCTGAAGCACTTTACCACCAGGTAAGAATGGAGAGAATATGCACTGCACATAAAAATGGTGTCATGCCCCTCCCTTCTAAAATAATGGTCTAATGTAACACGGTTTATTAAATTTTTATGAGGAAAAGAATTTGAAGAAAGAAAAGAGAATCAGAATTACTGAATATCAAACTATATGCTAATGCTGAACCCAAGTCTGTGCCCTTATGCATATTACATTTAATCTTTGAAACAATCTTGCAAGACCAATATATATATGTCTTTTATATGAGGACACTAAGATCAGAGTGGTTGGGTAACTTCTCCAAACTTACAAAATTTGCGTCTTCCAGAAATCACAGTCTTGCTCTGTGATATCATTCATTTGATATTAACTAAGTAAATAACATTTCTTTTTTTAAAATTTTTTATTTTTTATTTTTTTAACCTTTATTTATTTTTGAGACAGAGGGAGACAGAGCATGAATGGGGGAGGGTCAGAGAGAGGGAGACACAGAATCGGAAACAGGCTCCAGGCTCTGAGCCGTCAGCCCAGAGCCCGACGTGGGGCTCGAACTCACGGACCGCGAGATCGTGACCTGGCTGAAGTCGGACGCTTAACCGACTGCGCCACCCAGGCGCCCCAGTAAATAACATTTCTAAGTACTAATTCTTCAGTCAAAAAATTTAAACCAATGAGGTTACCATGTATTAAGAACTGTTTTCACTCAATGCCTACAATGTACTATTTTACTCTAATTCTTCTATTTCTTCTCATTCCCCTTTAATATTTAATCATGTTCTTATTATAACAGAAAGCTTGCTGTTGTAAGATTTGAAATCCAAACTCTTGAGGGTCTCTCTTCGTAACTGATGATTTGTGTGCCATAGTTTCTCAGAAAGATATAATACTCATTTGAATGGAGATTCAATGTCTCTTTTAAGAGAAGTTTCATCACAGTAGAATACGCAACGTTAGCTTAGCAGCATAGTTAATATCAAAGCCTATTAGGTAAAACAAATAAATTACTTCAAATTTCCAAAGTACTTACAGTTGAAGGAGAATACTCTTTTTTTAAACATGCACATACATCCCCTCGTTTTATGACTGGATAGATAAATTATGTTGTGTGTGTGTACAAGTCATTAATAATGATAGGACTTTTAGCACAAAGGTTCTTACTGTGTTACGTTATTAAATGAAAATCAAGTAAAAACAAACACACAGCACAATTATATTTCTAGTAACAGACATACATGAAAATATTAAAATGACTTTTTAAAATGCAAATTATGTTTTTCTAATTTTGTAAGGTATTTATTTATATTGTTACTTTCCAGACTTTTTGACACGTATCAATGCCTCCTCCACAACACTAAGAACTTATTTCTGAAATAATCTTATCATGTTATCCTACTTCTAATCAGAGGTTTCCACATTCCTATGAGATGAAGTTCAAAGTCCAAATGCAAGGTCTGTGGTGACCTTTAAGATCTTGTTTCTGCATACTTCTGCAGATTTATTTCCTAACAATATCTCAATATGTACTCTCTGCTTTGTTTGAGTATAAAAAAGGCTTGCTGTTTCCTAAGTGAGCTTTTCCCCATAATTTCTTGTTTCAGTGTATGTTGTACTAAATTCAAGTTTCTTTCTATATTCAGTCTCATGCCTTAAATTCATACCTCAAAGCCAAAAGAAATCTTGAGCTTTTCCCCAAGCCCTCCTTTCTGAGCCAAGGAAATCCTACACCAGAATTCCATGGCACCCTATAATTCCCTCTAATTGTGGTTATTTTAATTACTTGTTCAGCAGTTTCTTCCATTAGGAGATATACTACCTAAAAAGAAGTATTTTGTCTCATTTTAATTTTTATGTCTCAGCATCACATAGAAATGCTTGATGAAATTTAAATAAATAAATAAATAAATAAATAAATAAATAAATAAATAAAAGTGAATACTCATGGATTGTATCAATTTATATAATAATAAATGTTTTGTCTTTTTTGTTATAGCCCTCAAACTATGTTTTCTAATGTTCTGGTTAGCATTGTTCTAAAGGAAATGCTTTCCCACTACCAGTGAAATGAAAAATTAGTCTGGGAGTACCCTAGTGGAGTACACATAGGACTTTCATCAATATTGCACTCTATTGAATAGCATAGATAAGGTTCACTTTTATTTGGACTGGGTATTCGCTCTCAGCATTGCCCCAAACCGAATTGACATGGCTAGGGAAATTCAGCTAGTATCCCCAAAGAAAACATCTCATATTTTGGAGAATACAATTCTCCATTCATCAGATATTTATTTGATCCAAGCACTCTTTGATATACCATGGGTACAGAAATGAACAAAACAAATGTGAGTCCTTATAGACATAAACATAACGCTATGTTTAACAATGCGTTCTCTCCATAGGCTATGTACATCTTCACATGCACTATTTCATTTGATTTTCATAACAAATCTATGCTTTAGGGGCTATAATTAGCTCCAACTTCAAACTAAAATATAGTAAAACTAGAATACGTATACTTTTCCATCATAATAAGAGTTTATATTTATACTTTTATCCTCCACCGGTTTCAAATAGTGGAAAGAGGAAAAACTTTGGGTTCAGGCATTCCTCCATAGCTGTGAGATCTTTGACAAATCATTTTGCCTCATTTTCATCTTTCTTATGCATATTGGAAATAATAGTAAATACCACGTAAGTGTGTTGCATAGAATTAATGAGATAATAAAGTATTTATTAATGTGTATGGCCTGCAGTATATCCCACAATATCTATTACTGACGCCTGAATGTAAATGATAGCTAGTTCAGTGAGAAAAATATTTAACCAAATCCTAAATAGGTGACTCACTGGGGAAAAAGGTTTATTAAAAAAAACTTTTAAAGATAAATATACTATAGATTAATACAGAATTCTCCTTGATTGAATGTTGGAACATATTAATCTGTAAACATTTTTAACTCTGTCATAACAACATAATATTTTCTGTAAATAATACTTATCTATTGATTCAAGTGGATGCTTAAAAATTAAGACTATTCTCATCTGGGTTTTTCCTTTTTTAGATTTTGTTTATATACTTTTACTCAATGGTGATAAATCAGTAGCCTGTATTGCTTATATAGGGTATATTGCTTATATATTGCTTTATAGCTTATCTATCTTATGTAATTATTATGAAATAAAAGTTAGTAAATGCTCACTTTTGAAATCTAAAATCTTGGTTTTCCTATCCATAAGTGACTTCAAATAAGTGAATTATATGATTTCCCCATGTGATTTGTGTAAATGTTCTTCACCAAAGTTTTTCTAACAGATAGAGAAATATTCCTGTTCCCCACCTATTTGAATAGACCTAAGTTTGTACCTTGTTATGATGTTTGCATAAAGTTATGATCAGAAGAAATTAATCTCTAAACATTCATTCTCTGACTATATTCAGCTCCATATATTTAATAATTCTACTGTAAAGGAAATAGTCTTTCAAATTCAGGATTTCCAGCTTTCTTTATTGAGAGATGACAATTTTTTCCTTTCAATATCTTTTCTCTGTTAGTGAAGATCTAAACACCAGATGCTCACCCTAACTTAATTAAATTACTAAATTCTCTCTTTGGTTTTTTACCATGTATTCTGTACCTTACATATATATCTAAAGATAAAGAGCTTTTCTCTTATTTCTCCAGGTAAAGCCAGTAAAACTGTCTTGTGATTACATTCCACTCACAACTAAATTATTTTCATAACAAAATTTCATTTTCCATTTTAAAATAGGAGATTATAGGAAGACAAATAACAGTTTTCTCTTTTTTCTTGTTTTCCAACTGTCCTTAGATCCTGTATGCTTCTGGGAAGGTCTACATGATATTTTTTGTTGTGATAAGCTTTTGGTTTGCTTTTTACATAGCAAGTTTATTCTTGGGCATACTTGCTATGTCCTGTGAAGAAGAAAAGCAGAAAGCTGCTGAAAAAGCTGAGAAGACTGAGCCACAATTTCAGCAGACTTTAAAAGAACTTCAAGAAGGAGACAAAGCAGCCGAGGTATAAATTTCTCATACTGCTTCATAGAATCACAGAGTTTGAGTTATCTTCTCGAGATCTTGGAGTATATTGCTTTCTACTAGGTGCTCAGTGTCTGTGCATTGTATGTGATAAAAAGATCAAAAATAATCTTCATAAGTGGGCTCTCACTTTTGCTACATAACATTATTTCCTGAGTGTATTGTGGACAGAGTGACCAATATCTATAAATATTTAAGACCGAAATTTTTTTGTTCCAGAATGTGTATAACTGCTACTGAAAAGTATGGATATATGATTTTTCAAACTTGCCTTCTCTTAATGCAGGTTTAGGTTATTGATTTAAGCTTGCTCAGACAACACATCAGAATTAACTGGAAAATTTCAGTGCTGAACTCAATAGCGATAATGCCTTCCATAATTTAGAAATCATGAAGTACTAAAAGCATGGACTAAAAGTACAGTCTTGAAGTTGTAGAAAGAGAAAAACATGCACTTGACTGGCTTTCTAGCTCTTTCAAGAGGAAATGCACTATGCATCTTGATATATGGAGTTATTTTCTCCATGGAATAATTAAATCCATGATTAGTAAAACTTAATAAGGTTTTACTCCAATTTTCAATTATTTTAGTGTTGTGTTTAAGTATATTTCAGGTCTTTAGCCTCATAGCAAAAGATTGAATCTATGACTCTGAAAGTATTGACAGAAGTAGCACTAACGAAGTTATATAAATTATCCCTAAAAATCTAAATCGTGCCGTAAATGTACCAGAAGGAACAGGACCCAGGAAAGCAACCAGAAGTACCTCTCTTATATTCAGTAGGACCTGACAATTTCACACCTCTTTCTCAGTTGGAGAGGGTGAGGTTTAGCCCAGTGTCCTAACACCCATATCAGAGCTGTTGAGGTGTATGGTGGGCAGGATCCAGGGGTCTGGGGTAGGGTACAATCCATGCCTCTTCCAGGTGTTGACCCCTTCCCCTGTGTTGTGCAGAACCCTCTTGCCTGGGAGCTTGGTCTTTGGAGGGTGCTGGACCCAAACTGGTCACAGTAAAGTTGAGTGCTCCTTGACCAGAATGGCTTCTTATAAGGCCTCACTTGGGAGAGGACAACCATGCCCTGCCTCCTTTTCCATTCCTTTAGATTTGTTACTATTTTGCACTCTTAACACCTGCTAGTAAATATTGTCTACACTGGAAAAAGAACCTCAATGGTAAAAGGACAGATTGAGGGAGCAGACAAAAGATAGAAAGGACTTCTACTGAGACTCTATCATACAAAGAAGATAAAAAGAGGTGGGGAAAAGCAAAGAGCCAAGATACATTCTGGCACCAAGTGGAGTGTGCAGTAAGGCTGGGTAAGAGGTTCCTTAATACCAAAGGTAACTTCTGGGTCAAAAGGGTAAAATGTTAACTTCCCTACATATGTAACTCTTTATTTACTCATCATCAATGAAGAAGCTCTAGAAAAGTCATTCTACTAAAAATATGGAATCTGAATAACATAATGTAGGATCATACCAAATTAAAAGTTATTGATAAATACTATATTTGCATGGTTCATAACATGCATACCATTGAAACAAGAAGCAATTATAAACAGTATGAAGAAAACATGTATAAAGAGAGGCTATTGAGTGTAGCCATTATATCACTCATGAGGAAGCCAGAGAAAAATTACAAAAGATTTCTGTCTTCAGAAATGAGTGTGGGGTCCTTCTGATTGAATGATGATGGTCTGAATGATATGTTGAATGTATAATTTGTTTCAAAGTGATATTTCAAATGTCAAGGGCTACCCACAAATGTATTCAAGAGCACAATATTCTCTTATCCCAAGATGAGATGCCCTATTAACTCTGGAAGAACTTGAATTATTTCCCAGTTTCTTAATATCTCCATTCATTTGGCTGTTTTGGATCAAATAAAGCCTTTCTGGTTTTAATTAAAATCTTTCAATTGTAAAGGATATCTTTTCCTGGAAGAGTGCTAGAACATTTTGTTATGAAAAACTTTTTTGGGAAGTAAGAGCAAAGGTCATTTTCACAAGATGTACTTTCTTTTTCTTTTTTTGTGTATACACAAGAAAATACTAGAAAGAGAAGAACTTAAAATGGAACATATTGAAGACCCATTAGGTGACTGATATGATTTAGGACTAATCAGACTCTAATTCCAATGTTGGGATTACTGAGAGATTACCTAAATGCTTCATATTCTCACATTATGGGAAAGCATTAGATCATCTTAGCTAAGAGCACAGTTTTTCAGTCAAATAGATATAGATTTCAGTCTATTTTAGCCACCTAATAGATGTATGATGTTTGCCAAGTCTCTTAACCTTTCTGAACTTCTTTACCTGTAAGATGTTTATAATTTCAGTATCTGTCTCATAGGTTATTGTGAGATTCAAATGAAATAAATTTTTGTAAAACACTTGGCATGGCTTAGAATATACTAAGTAATTGGGGGAAAAAATACAAGAAGACAAACACAAGAAGGTACAGCAGAATAGAATACTCCACCGTAGAATACTCCACCAACATAAAATTCTTAAGTCTTTGACTATACCCCCTTTTAGGGATAATTAAAATAATAATGATGATGATGGTGATAATAATAATAGTATATAATGTTGTGGAGTGTCAACTGTGTTCCACACATGTGATAAGCATCTTCATGAATCCTCAAATGTGATCTTTATTGAGGAGTTCCAGTTATAAAATTTGACCTGTATTTATTTGTACCTGATTTCTCCAAACTTGACTTCTTTCTTCACCACTTTATTTTTCTGGGGGCTCAATGCTGAAACTATATTATTCCAACAATTACCCAGTTTGCAGCTGAAACTTTCTTAAGAATTGACAGTCACTGGCAATCTCTTCTCCAGAAGAGAATCAGATATATACAACTGTAGGAATATAAATATTTTCAAATATATTTGCCCATCTAAAATGGCATCCTTATAACTCTTCTAATTAAATAAAACATTATTGACAATCTACTATATGCTAAGCATTGTACTAAACATTGGATATTTTAAAATGTTAATAAATACAAACATAGTGTCTATCTTCATAAAGCTAATGGTCTAATGGGGAGATAGACTGTAAAATTATCCTAAACACAAAATTGTACCTCTAGCACCAGTAGACATTATGTGTTTCCTGATGTTATGAAACAGGAGACATAAAACACCACATAAAATATATTCTTGCCATAACCTGAGCTAAGTCTAGTAAGCCTCTAGATCTAACCATCTTCTTCTAGAGACTAGAGGAGAGAGAAGAACACATTAAATTACACTGAAAGGACACAATCTGCCAAATCAAGAATGTGGAAATTCTATAGTTATAAGTGATCCATTATTGTCAACAAATAAATCAGATTAGAAAAAATAACGGCATGAGATAATCAATAAACCTGTGAACTAAATACAGTATGTAAATCTTTTTGTATTTTGATTGGAACAAATCAAGTACAATAGAATGTTTCTGAGCAATGAAAGAAAATTGAGCATGGTCTGGGTATTGGATAATATTAAGGGAATTACTAATTTTCTGATTGCGATCCTAATATTACAATTATGTTTTTTAAAAAGGTTATTCTGAGAATTATATGATGTCTGACATATTTTTCCTGAAATATTTTAAATAAAGCAGGGTAAGTAATATGTGAGAAGTGAGGAATATAATGATATTAATTGTTAAGCCTGGATATTGGGTACCTGGCGATTCACTACCTGGTATTATTCACTACTAAAAAAATAAAATGAAAATAAATTAAACTGTGGAGAGTACTTTAAAAGTGAGAAATGTGATGCTTTGAGAGCCTATAATAAAGGATTTCCCTGGTAAGAAAATGTTTCTTTTTTTTTTTTTTAATGTTTATTTATTTTGAGAGAGAGAGAGAGAGAGAACACGAGCTGGGGAGGGGCAGAGAGAGGGGGAAACACAGAATCCGAAGCAGGCTCCAGGCTCTGAGCTGTCAGCACAGAGCCCAGAGTGGGACTTGAACCCACGAACCTTGAGATCATGACCTGAGCTGAAGTTGGATGCTTAATGGACTGAGCCACCCAGGCACCCAGAGGAAAGGTTTCTAATGGGAAACCAACATTTGAACTGAGATCTGAAGAATGAGTCCATGCTACATGGGGGAGGGAACAGACTAAGTCAAGATTAAAAAGGTCAGTGTGGCTACAGTAGAGAGAGCAAGTGTGATCCCAAGATGAATACTGCAGCTATTCATTGCTAAATGCTAGAAATATGACTGGATTCTTCCTTAGTCATACCTACTCTCCAGAGGAAATTTAAACCAGCTGTGACAAGAAGAATTCTAGCCCCTTTTTGCAGTCTAATTTTAACTTTGGATCTGCCTTTATTAGCTCTTAAACTTCCAAAAAGGAGATTACTGAGTCATGATCTTCTCACTTTGCATTATAAAATGGCCATATCCTTAGTTGTTGGCATTCATTCAATATTTTTTAAGAAGTTCCATTGAACTAAATTACTAGACTGGTGTGGTTTATTTGTTTTATATTCTAAAATATATCCACAGTTAGGGGTGCCTGGGTTGTTCATTGGTTGAGCATCTGACTCTTCATTTTGGCTCAGGTCATGATCTCACAGTTTCGTGAGTTTGAGCCCCGTGTCTGGCTCTGTCAGCAGCATGGAGTCTACTTGGAATTCTCTCTCTCCCTCTCTTTCTTTGCCCCTCCCCTGCATGTGCTCTCTCTGTCTCTCCCAAAATAAAGAAATAAACTTAAAACAATTTTTTAAAATTTTAAATATATCCACAGTCCAAGCCAAATAAGTAGAAAATTTAACATTGACTATATCGCAATAACATTATTACTGTACTCACTCTATCCACCCCACACAGATGATTATCTTTACTGAATTACTTCTTGGGGTGATTCCATCAGACATTGTCATTATCAGAAACATCTTTATGAGAAGCAATTCCTCTATATTAATAACAGTGGAAGGTATTATTCACTATATTACAAAATATCATCTTTATGAAGATATACCTGGGAGATCCCTCTTAGACCATAATCACAGAACAATTATGCCTCTACTGGTTTTTTGACTCATGAAAATTTGAAATTGCCTATGTTACAACTTATATTTTATAGAATCCTGTAAGTGGGTCAAAAAATACTTTCTGGAGTAAGCATAGTTTAAGTAAATAAATTAACATCACATTCTGGGCTTTTGGCTTACTTTTTTCAATTAAAACAAATAGTGAGGGCACATGGATCTGTAGACCTGCAGAATCTGTCATTTTCCTGATGGAATCAGTATGAAGTCGAGTTGGTTTTCACCTCCTCTGATTCTAGTATTTATGAAATTAGAGGAATCTTGACTGATACTGAATGAGATGAATATGATGATTCCCTTGATATCTGTGATGCCGATTCATATAGACCACAGCAGAAATTGAACACTGTTTCCTGCAGTGTTAGTAGCAGCTGCAGCCCCATGCCAGTTACCTCTGTGCCAGAGTGGGCTTGCCTGTTCAAATTTATTTACTATGTATTTCACCTATTTAGCCACACCTATTCACCAAGTTAACAAACATACAATGTTATCATTCTTATGTTGCTAAATGTAAAAACTGTTGGGAACTCTGTAGTGTAATATTACCTACCTATTGTCAGTTTCTTAGAGTTTAAATTAAATATAAATTTTATACACGGTCATTAGAAACATCTGGGGTTCTATTTGTGATAACTATGAACTTGTAACATCTACATCAAGCCCTAGGAGTGTATTTCCTTTTTTTGAGTTTAAAAAAAAATTCTAATGTTTATTTTTGAGAGAGAGACAGAGAGAGTAAGAGAGAGAGCGCATGCACTAGCAAGTGCAAGTGGGGGAGGAGCAGAGAGAGAGGGAGCCGATTCAAAGCGCAACCTATGAATACTGTTTATCAGCCTGGGAGCCCAAGGGCAGAAAGGACTTAGAAAAGCTTCTCTGGCTTCAACAGTTCATGATCTGGGCTCCGAAGCTGGATGCTTTACTGACTGAAACTCTCTTACCCACCCCCACCCCGACCCCCCCACCCCGTCCCTGCCCAGGAGTGTATTTCCAATGCAAGGCTTCTTTTGAACGCTGCATAACCACATCAGCAAAACAGAGTATCTTAAAGCCATTACTCAAGAGACATGAGAGACAGAAAGAAGTGATTCCTTTATGGAATCATCATGTATGATCTGGCCAAAACAACTATTTTACATGCTACTACTCAAGATTATTTCATTATCACAAAACCAAATAATTTTGATTTTATCAAGAGAGTTTATAAAGTTTTAAAATACCCTTAAAGAAAAATGTAAGGTGTTAGAGAAATACTGTCTCAGCATGTTTGCCAACCAGATATTTTGCAATAACCCTATAAAGTACATGCTTAATGGTTTGTCAAATATGGGTAATACAAGTAATATAATCTGATTTCCTCCTTTTATAGTTGACTTTATAGTATAAAATGATTTTGTTGAGTTGCAAGTTATATACATTTGTTATCCAAATAATCCTAAGCCAGTTTAATACTGCCTATAGTGTGAAGAGTAGCAAATAATGGAACCCAAAAAGATTTCTGGAGGTAAGAACCAATGTTTTAAAGAAGGTTATAAACCTTCTTATAGTTATAGCCTTGTATCTACAACAGGGAGAAGCCAGCATTAGACTCATCTAATTTATTTTTAGACCAAGACCACACAAATAGAAATGAAGAAAAGATCACCAACTTCTATGATCACTTCTTTTAATATGTTGGATGATTCTACTGCTACTGTGAGACATGAAGAAGGTAAAGTAAAAAATACTTAGTTACTCTGAAAGGTATATTCATAAGATTCACTTTAAGTAAATCCTGCAATTTCTTCAGAATTTTAGGATAAGAAAAAGTTAAGGAATCACATAAGAATATTAAAGTGAGCAATTCCGTAAGCATGGTATTTTAAACATTGGAACGGGTCACCAAAGAGTAGTAAGAAATTTTCTTTAACATTGAAAACAAAGTGGAAGTATTAACTTACAACTACAAATAGAAGTTGGATTATATAACAATAATATATTAAGATCCTTTTTTGCATTGTCTCTGCTTTTTTAATACATAAGCAGTAACTCATTATCATGGACAATATTAAAAGGCATTATTTTATAAAGCATTATAAATCTAGAAATTATAAATCATAATACTCTCAACTGTATTCCATGTTTTTTTTTCTTGAGAGAAACTCCTAGGTTTTGCTTCTAATACACAGTGTGTCTCGTTTTCATTTGTCTAACTCAGCAAGCATTAACAAAATAGTGGCAATTGACTTTGCTCTGATTTATATTAGTACAAAATATTTCTATTTGCTAATTCCAAATCAAAGGTCTAATTTTAAACATCTCTTTGCATACGAAAGTCAAAATATTTTATTAGCTAGAACTAAAACAACAATTTGCTAAAGTTTAACTTTTTTATTCTTTATTTCAGAACTTAAAAAATCCAGGAAGAGACGCCCATTGTGTTTGTATAGATTTGCTAAAACTTTATTGATCTGGAATTGTTCTCCCTGTTGGTTAAAATTGAAAGAGTTTATCCACATGATTATAATGGACCCATTTACTGATCTTGTCCTTACCATATGCATAATTCTAAATGTGTGTTTTTTGGCCTTGGAATGTTATCCAATGAGTGAAGAAACCACCAGTGTTCTCAGCATTGGAAACCTGGTAATGCTCTTGTATATTATTTTCATTTGCAGTTTCAACTTTTCTTTAGTCATCATAATCCTCATTATTTTATTTTGTAACTCCAATATGTTGCAAATGCATTATATGCATACTAATGAAGTATGACCTTCATCCACAACCCACCACCTCTAGCCCTGATTTGTAAGTGTTATTATCATTGAAAGGTTTATAGCTAAGGTTTAAAATTCTGCTATTTAAGTTTGAGATTCGAGTCAGTTACTTGGCAGTTAGGTTAAATGGAAATTATTTATTTCCTCTCCCATCCCAAATATATCCTCCCTTGGTACCATAGCTCCACAGCTCGGAGCAGGACAAATAAAATTTGTTATTTGCAATAACAAATACAGATTCCTCACTGACACCTAAATTCTGAATCCTGACTACAACTGTACCTGCCTTGTCTGCTTTAGCTACCTGCCTTTGCCTCAGATGGGAAGTTATTCTTTTGGTAAGGTAATGTTGAGAGTCACTCGTCCTTTTTTTTCCCTCATACAATGCATAAAGCAAAACAGATTTCTGTGAGTTTAAAAACAAGTCACATTCAAGGAAATATGTAGTGTTTAATTTTCTTTTCTTTTATGGTTGTTGTTTGTTGCTTAGTACTAGTATAAATGGCCAAACTGCTACCCACTTTTAATTATACATTTACTTGGTACCAACACTATAGAAATTTAGTTATTTCTGCTAGTATAGTTTTCAAGAGACAGTTTTCAGAGGTTTACTATTTTTTTTTCACTTAGACACTTTTATGGTTCAAAAAGTTAAATATCTTAATATGTACTCCATATCCCAAAAGAAACTGTTCAAAATAAAAATATTTTCATCTTTAAATATTCTCTTTTGTCTTTCAGGATAGCTTTTATTAAATAATTGAAGATTTTGTAGGCAGTGTTTGACATTAGACTGTTAAGTGAAATGTTGGAGTCTATCCTTATTTTTTTTTTAAGTTTATTTATTTGGAAGAGAGAGAGAGCCCAAGCAGGGGAGGGGCAGAGAAAGAGAGAGAGAGAATCTCAAGCAGACTCTGCGCTGTCAGTGCAAAGCCCAATGTGGAGCTTGCTCCCGTGAACCATGAGATCATAACCTGAATCAAAACCGGGAGTCAGATGCTTAACTGACACAGCCACCCAGGTGCCCCAGAGTCTGTCTTTAAAATACAGACTCCAATACTAATCAGATCTTGATAGAACAACTGTGAAGACTGTGGCAGTGGAAACTCACAGTTTCTGTATATGTGGGTTCTGATGGTGTTATTGGAATCATATCCTCATCCATGTGTTTTGTTTTTGTTTAGATTTTTATTGGAATTTTCACAGCAGAAATGATTTTGAAAATAATTGCAATGCATCCATATGGGTATTTTCAAGTAGGTTGGAACATTTTTGATAGCCTGATTGTGTTCCATGGTTTAGCAGAACTTTATCTAGCCAATGTTTCTGGAATGGCTTTTTTAAAAATATTCAGAGTGGTAAGTAGAATCCAATATCTAAATTTTATTTTATGAAAATTTCTCTCAGTCTCCTCAGACACAACATGGGAAGAATAGTAATACCTATCCTATGGGGACATTTGTAGTAATAAATGAATTGATTCATATATAAAGAGCTTAGGAAGTGCCCCAGGAAGAGTAAGAAGTTTCCAATGCTGTTATTTCACTGAAGCATCAAAGTAAGTAAGCTGTTTGGTAGCAAATTTGAGGTATAGTTTTAGAAATCAGGGCCAGGGTTACTGGTCAGTTGTGAGGAGCAGGATAATGTGGAGTCCCAGGAGATGAATGCCAATGTATGACTAAGGAACTGCAATCAGGTGAGTATTTCTAAATGTAGAGTAGAAAACTTTATAAAAGACCAGTCAAGCCAGCAGAATGTTATTACAAAAATTAAGTCAGAATCGGTATATGTATGCCTGTAATGTATGGTGGTAGTAAGAATCAGAAAACTAGGCAAGGAAAATGTTATTAGAAGAGTATGTATGGAAACGTTAAGTACTTGATAAGTAATATATTGTCACATTCTAGTAAGAAGTTGAAGAGATGTAGCAGGAATAAAGAACAACTAAATAGACTTGATCTTATCCAAATAATTCTTCAGAACCCTGTCTTAAGTCCTCATCCATAGACTTTTCTAATGAGTAAGAGAAACATGTAAAAGATGTAGCTCTCAAATTTATGGATAAAACAAGACTGGGAAATAAAAAATATGATAAAAGATAGTATCAAAGTATCTGAAAGTCTAACATGGGCTGGATATAAATGATTCAGTCTTACATAGATAAATGTGAAGGCCTACTCTTGAGTCCATGAAGTGAACTATGTACTGGAAAAAGTTGGGGAAGGTATAGCATATATAAAAATGATATTTGGGTTTAAATTTTTTTAATGTTTATTTATTTTTGAGAGAAAGAGAGAGTACAAATGGGAGAGAGGCAGAGAGAGAGGGAGACACAGAATCTGAAGCAGGCTCCAGGCTCTGAGCTGTCAGCACAGAGCCCGATGCAGGGCTCAAACCCATGAACCTTGAGATCGTGACCTGAGCCAAAGTTGGAGGCTTAACCTACCGAGCCACCCAGGTGCCCCAGTGATATTTGGGTTTTAGATGACTAAGCTCACTGTAATATGGTGGCCAAAACTGTTAAGGTAATCTTGTCCATTTCAACAGAAACAAAAAATCTAGTGAAAAGAAGAGAACTATTCAGACTAAACCTAGAATGCTGTGTTTGGTTTTTGATATGTTACTTTAAAATAAAATACATAAGAGAAACTTCAATGGAATTCAATGGGACCTGACAGACTTTTTCAATATCATCTATATGTCAGAATGTGGGAGAATTTCCAGTGTACTGTGAAAAGCAAAACAAAGAATGGGCAGTTATCCCACCAGATATTAAAACATAAAACTAGAGTAATTATAACAGCATAGTATTGAATGGAAATTGGCAGACCAATAGAAGGAGATATGTATTGGTTTAGTGTAAAAAATACAGAATATGTGTCACATATTAAGAATTGTGTAACAATGGCTAGTATTAATAGTGCTCAAAACTGAATATTACATTAAAGACTATATATGTGTATGTGTATGATGCTGATAAGATGTACATCATAATAAATAGTGACCAGGGTTTTCTTTTTGTTTGTTTTTTATTTTTGTTGTTTCTTGCATTACTGTATTAGTTGAGAATTTTCAAGCTGGGAAAATACTGGCCAACATTTAGGATTCTGATGTTGATTCTGAGTAACTCATTGGTGGCCCTGAAAGGCTTGGTGCTGTTGTTGTTCACATTCATGTTCTTTTCTGCTGTGGTTGGCCTGAAACTGTTCGGTAGGAGTTACAAAGAATGTGTCTGCAACATAGACAAAGGCTGTCAACTCCCACACTGGCACATGCATGACTTCTTCCACTCCTTCCTGAATGTGCTCCGAATTCTCTGTGGAGAGTGGATAGAGACTTTATGGGATTGCCTTAAGGTTGCAGGCCAATTCGGTTGCCTTCCTTTTTACATGATGGTCATTTTAATTGGAAACTTATTGGTAAGTATTCCATGCTTTTAAATTTTCCTTGAACAACTTGTGTAATGTAGTTTAGTATTTCCATGATGTGAATTTATGGGATCCAGTGGTCTATAACTGTGTTGTCCAATATGGTAGCCTCTAGCCACATGTGGCTGTTGATCAGTTGCAATACAATTGGCCCAATTAGAGATGTGCTACAAGGGTAAAATACCCACTGGCTTTGAAGTCTCACCCCCCTAAAATAACATAAGTTATTTTATTAATAATTTTTATACTGAATGTGTTTTAAAATGATAATATTTTTGATATATTTAGTTAAATAAAATGTTAGTAAAATTAGTTTCTGTTTTTGTTTGTGCTTTTGATGTGGCCACTAGAAAGTTGCATATGACATGCATCATATTTCTGTTGGAGAGCACTGGTTTATAACCTTGATACTCAAGTAGCATTGGCATCATGTGGGAGATAGTTGGATCCCATCTCAGACCTATGGGGAATCTACAGTTTAACAATATCCCCAGGTGATTTGTATGCACATTAAATTTTAAGAAGCACTTAAATGTAACACTGGTTGTCAAACTAGGTTGCACATTGGAATTACCTGGGGAACTAATAAAAATATAGTAATGTCTTGGATACGTTACCAGAGATACCGATTTTATTGGTATGTGGACATAGCCCAGTCATCAGGATCTTTTACAATTTTTCATTTGATTAAATTATGCAGTAAAGTTTGAAAATCGCTGACCTATAAAACTAAGGTGCATTAGTGAAGAGGGATAGCTATCACTTTTAAATTCCCAGTAATTGAAGTGGTGTTACATGAATTGAGTAAGTAGCTTTTACTTCTTCTAAGCAAAGGGAATGGATTATAAAAGAAAATTGTTCTTACAAGGAAAAAAAGGACTCAGTATTTGCTTTATTCATAAGTCATAGAAATCAAATACATTTTACAAAAGACTGAAAAAAAATCACTGGTCAGATACCATTTTATCTATCAATAACCTCCCTCACTGCTTCTGTTTCACCTTGGGCATAACCTCTGTCATCCACTTATCACTGCTGGCATTCTGTTTAATTGTTGATGTACTTGTCTACCTTCCTTTTTAAACTGTAAGCTCCACAAAGGAAGGATCATGACTTTTCTCTATATCATCAAAGCCTAGAACAGAGTCTAACATGTAAAAATATTTCAATGACCTCGGCCTTTGTAGCTAATTAGTACACTTTCAACTCTCAGTGACATAACACTATTTTAACTGGCTAAAACAAAACTCAACATATATATCAGCATGCATAACTCAAAATGTCAGAGATAGATTTCACTTCAGTTGTGGTGTGACACATACATTCAAAAAAAAGGTCATTAGAGACAGACTTGCGTGTAACTCAGATCTGTCTTCTGCGTGGCCCTTGCTGGTAGTAGCCTCTATTTTATCAAGATTGCTGCTGCAGTCTAAAGCTTCATGTGTTCATATCACATCAAGTCTAATAGAAGAGAAATTCCTGTTTCTTTTCTAGAAGTCACAGCAAATCTCTCCTATTATCTCATTAGCTCTGAGTCACATGTCCATTTGTGAACCAATCTCTATTGCCCAGAGTGTGAAATATATTTATTATTTATTGTGCAGAGTGTGGAATATATTAACGTATATTATGATAAGCTACTCAGAATCCTCTTTTGGAGCTGGAGTTGGCATCATTCCAAACACAAATCATGCAACTAATAATAAGATAAGGGTGATTTCCCGTGAAATATTAAGTTTCTATTCCCAAAAGAGAATAGGAGAGGCTATGGTTGATGGCTATTGAGATAAACAACACACACACACACACACACACACGCACGCACGCACGCACACACACACACACACAGAGTTCAAAAACAAAGAAGGAGAAATGCTGAGGCAATTGTATAATTGCATTTCTGCTTCTTTGTTTTTGAATTCCACTTTGTTTCTTATTTTTCTTATTCCTACTGATCAGAAACTTGATGTCAAAGGGCAGAGGGACTTCAGAATGAAATGGAACTACAGGAACCTCCATTTCCAATTGATTGGTCATAATATTGCTTGGTTTGCTGAATCTTTTAAGCTTCATTTTTCTCAACAGTCATCATGTGTGAAGCGCCATGATAACAACTCTAGACTAAATACAAGGGGAAAAAATGTAAGGAGAGAATCTGTAAGGCTATAGATCTCCCCCCATACTTTCAACTCATTACATTACAGCATTGTAATTTCACACCAAAACTCAGCATTTGTATAAAAAGAAGGTACTCCCCATTTTAAAAACTTAATTTTGTCTTGTTTGCCTAATAAACATTCCAGTGGTGATTCAGCCTGCAGTGGAACCGTAAAACATGATCATAAACAAAAGCAAGTATTTAAATGGCTTTTAAACAGTTACATGCAATGCTGAGTTATAGAAAAAATAGAGTTCAGATCCAAGCAAACATGGGTTCAAACTCCGGTTTTATTATTTACTAATTAAATGCCTTTGTGTATATGACCCTGCCTCTTTAAACCTCGTAATATTTTTATAGAAGAATGAACTTAATAATATATGCCATATAGAGTTATTGTAAGTTAAATTAAAACAGCTAGCACTCATAAATATTTATAAATGTTTGTTTTACTTTCTTTAAGCTCTAGAAAATAGTACCTCCCACATCTTTAGAATTGTGCTAATTAAACATTATTTAGAAGTTTCAGTTAGGCAAACATTCTACATGTTTCACTTGTAATTTAAGTAATTGCCACTAAGTGAACTGTGGGATCTAGCTAAGGTTACGTAAACCAAACAATGAGGGATATAGAAACATAAAAAGAAAAGAAATAGAAAATAGAAAATTCAGTTGCTTTTTAAAAATAAGACATTGGTGATAAATATCTATGTCATTCCATGTATGTTTACATATTCCCCAATTAAATATGTTAAGATACAATTTGAATAGTATTAAAATAGAAACTTCATACATGTTGAATTTCTTAAATTAGTAATCAAATAATTATTCGTACTTGAAAAATTCTTGGAAAATACTTGAATATTACTTGAAAAATAATTACATAAGTAAATCTTGAATTTCCTTTCTATTCCATATTACTTTATTTTGATGAGTTTTTCAATTCTCACCCAATAGATAGACATCATTGAGGTAAATGAGAGGGCAAATTTCAGGGGAGACATTTGAATGTTTTGTTTTATATACATTATTTCACATTTTATCTTTTAACACAAAAATAAGAAATATGTGTTTTGAATCTCTTTATAAAATACTGTGACTAGAACAAAGTCACACTAAGTTTATATAAAATTTTCTTTATACCGTAATTCCAGAGAATTTTGAACTTCATTTTCAGCCTTTTAACAATAAAAAACAAATGTTTTTCAATCTTTATTTTTGACAAAGACAGAGTGTTAGCAGGGGAGGGGCAGAGAGAGAGGGAGACACAGAATCTGAAGCAGACTCCAGGCCTGGCCTGAGCACAGAGCCTAATGGAGGGCTTGAACTCAGGAATAGTGAGATCATGACTTGAGCCAAGTCAGACGCTTAACCAACTGAGCCACCCAGGTACCCCAAGCCTTTTAACATTTTCACTGTATATGTATATCTGCATTTGG